CAGATTCAGACAGATATGAAATGTATTTCTATATATGTATATATTAAATGTATTTGTGTGGTTATGACTGTGCTTGAAGATGTATTTATGTATCTCGGCCTGCACATCCTGCGCAAACCGGCTCAATGCCAGCGGACATGCATATAGTCAGGTTTCATGTCTCGTGCGCATATACATACATTAGTTAATATGTATGTATGTATGTGTGTATAGATATATATATATATACATACATATTCATGCAGGCATGCACACATCGACTTTTTGCAGCTGCGCACGCAACTACTTGCCTACCTACCCACCCCACCTACCCTACCCTACCGACCTATCTGCCCACCTACATACATGCGCACATAGATACGTGCACAGACACATGTGCGTTCGCACCTCGGCCAGGCCTGGCAACGCTGCATAGTAAGCCCAGAATCATTGAACCCTATAATAAAAAATGAGAAACAGATGAGAAAGTCCTGATCGCTAATTATAATTACACGCAGCCTACAGTACAGCGCAGATCGAATTTTCGCGTGTTTCTCTGACACTGAGGCTGCTGAAGGCCCGGAAGACCCGCGCAGTGGTGAACTCCGCGCCGCGGGGGTCTTAGTTTGAGGACGAGTTGTTATTTTGGAGTTTCAATGGTGTAGGGCTTCTATACTCTAAGCTTTGGGGCTTTGGGGGTCTAGTCTGGGGGGTTCTGAAGTTTAGGATCAAGTACCTGCCTGGATGCAGAAATGGATCAAGTACCCGAAGACCATACTTTGTAAAAAGAGTTTTGACATGCGTTAAGAAGTTTCGTGGGCTTCCAACGCGGGTTCCATGTTCTGATTTTGTTTTAGATTTGCAACCCTGTCTTGAGCAAAACCGTATACCCCACTCCTGCCTGAATCGTCTAATTCAAATTTGCTGGAATCACATCCGTCAAAATTTTTAGGGCATCGGTGCTGAGGGACCCGAAACCCAGACTCCACTCGGTGCATTTTGGTCTGCGGCCTGTTTGGGCGGTCCTGGCGCATCCTGTGCATGTGCGGGGTCGGAATACTTACTATAATCGATTTAAGCATTCCTTTACTCAACGTTTTTCTTTTTGTTTTAATGGGTTTGTGTGAGGTTTAGAATAAAAAGTACTTTTACCCTTCTGGAGGGCTCCTTCCTATAATGACCGTAAAGTATATCATCAAGGTCCCTATATTTTGGCTTCCTGCAGCGGTGACTCGACCTTGCCCTAAACTATAGGATTAAACCTTAAACCCTTCCTCCGCACCGACTTACCTTTCAAGGCCCTCACCCTTGTCCGTGAAGGCACTGAACGAGGCCAAGCCGAGATACTCTCTTTGGGGCTTAATTGCTTTAGGGTTTAGAGTTTAGGGTTTTTGTTTGCTTTGCAGCTTAAGCTTCGGTTTGGGGTTCTGGGGGTTTAGGCAGTAGGATCTAGGGCCTAGGGTCTGGCTCGAAGTTGTCGCAGTGGCGATGCCAACAGCTGGGGTGGCGGCTTTTCGGTTTCAGAAGCTGCTGCTGGCCACTACACAGATAACCATGCCCTCATCAACTCGCAGATCATGACCACAAGGGAGATCAAGATAAGTATGTCCAAAGTTTTTCTATAGTACATTACCACTATTCCGTTATGACTCTGTGGAAGCATAACCCAAGATGGAGCTGCTGATACGGCTCAGAAGTTTCCCTGAACCTCAGGCGTTACACGGTGCAGAAAAGCCATTGGGACATATCCTCAGCCCCCCCTGCATTATCCTAAACCCTTTGCCTTGAACCGTAAATCCCAAGATCCCAGAATCCTTAATGGTATAGGGTCTGTGAGGGAATGCCAATATGCACGGGAATTTCACACAAGCTTTTTTATGCACAGGGACTACCGCAGAAGACGAGGACTAGCTATGCAGAGATTCGATAAGGCCTGCTGGGTACTGCAAGCTCCCTAGGGAAAGCCTCCTTCTCACAAAAACGTTGGGCTTTAGAGCTTATCGGGTGTAGGTGACAATGTAGTAGACCCACAAACTTCGGGTTCAGGCTCATGCAAGAGTTGTGCCAGATGCCTAGGCAGTCGGAGAAGTACAACCTTATCCTGGACATATCCGTGCCCGAAGCGCCCCGTTTAAATAAAAAGCTAGAGCTGAGAATTTTACCATATACACAGGACTTAACCCGAAATCGGAAGCCCACGTCAGGCACACCCTACTACTGGTCTTACCCCACTGGCAGCGGCCATTTCGCACGGCCACGTGCATTTGGTTCCACCGCCGGTGCTCCCAGCAGGCTGAGGAATTCCAATCTTGAGCAGTTAGGCCTGAAGTAGCCCCCACAAACCCTCAACCTCTGAGCTTCCGATTTACAGACTCAAAAAGCTGTACATTCTTTTTTAGGGGCGGCTTATGCGTAAATGCGCGGATGTGTATCTGTTGTGTGCATCCAGGCATGTGCTTTCATTTGTTTATGAAACTTACATGCACACACAGGAAAAGATGCAGAGACGGAGACATGCGCATCCATGCCATGCCATGCCAAGGGATGCCCTGAAATGCCATGTTGTGGCGTACGATGTGCCGTACGATACCATATTGTACCGTGCCATACTATACCGTATCATATCATGCCATACCATATGGTACACACGAAGCAACGCACATAACTCGCCACCATACTTTTGTTGTACTTGGTTTTGCTTGGGTTCGTGCACAGTTTTTTCACCGGAAGATGCCTCCCCCCCAACAAACCCGGCGCCTCTAACCCTAAACATTAAAACTATGCTAAAACTTGCAAACCCTAAACTCCAGATTAGACCCCAAACCCTCAAACCCCAACCCCCAAGCCCTGTCCTGTAGACCCAAAACCCCGACCCTGGCTCGGGCCGATACGTGCTGGGTTTTACAGGCTTTGAAACGACGGAGTAAGGATCATTATAATGAAGGGGTTAGGGGTTGATCAGGGTCGGATCAAATTAGGGTTTATAAGATAATGACCCGTGTAAGAACAGGGCAGGGGGGGGTTTTAATGATGGCCTCTGGAGACAAGGGGGCTGGTACGTCTCCGATCAGGGCTCCTGTAGGGTATATCGCTTTTGGGGATTCAGGCTTGAGCTGCAGGTAAAGGTTTCCTGGGTTAAGCTTTTCAAAAGCCTGCGTCCCAGGGGCTCAAGTATATCGGACCTATCAAACACGACCTGGCAAAGGCACTTGGGAAGCCAGAGCCGATTCTAGTTGTTTTTGTGGCCCTCCCCCCCCCCGGCCGCTTTCGAGTTGCTATCTTACAGGGTTTCGGCAACAACCCCGTCTCCGAGATTGTAGACCACGTTCCGCGGATTTCGAAGCCATGGCGATGTCTACCTTTCGCCGGCTTTTGCCCCGTTCTGCCCGATTGCCAGGGCCTCGGCTGATGATTTCAGGAGGTTTCGGATTCCGGGACTGTCAGACCGGCTTCCGGGAAATAGCGAGGCGGAATCTTTTGAAAATATACTATTCCCTGGGCTGCCATATCTTTGCTCTAGTATATTAAGACTTGGTATACCGCAAACCCTTTGCAAAGGCCCCAGAAAAGTCTCCATTGTAGTTCTTGTTTGTTCTGGCAGTTTTATGTTGAGGGTCCTATAACGTAACCCCAGAAAGGGAACTACAATGGAGACTATAGGAATTATTGTGTTCATTTAATCAGATTCCAGAAGACTGTGACATCCTTGGCAAGACTAGTGGACGGTCTTTGGCTTAGGGTTGAGGATTTCGGGGTTTACGGGTTTACGAGGTTGGGGTGTGGGGTTGAGGCAAAGGGCTTACACAGTTTAGGGTTTCCAGGGTTCAGTTCTTCCTCCCAACTTGTGTGCCGAGAACTCTGACATGCCAATGCGACAATCGCTAGAAGAAGTAACTTCTTCTGCCACACTGTATTCCGAGTTACTCAGCAGGAATCACCAGAGCCTTTTGCAATGCCATCAGCTCCACTTAACCCTTAACCCCGAAACTTGCATTGAAGATCCGAGGTATCATCCTACTTCAGTTCGTTCAAAGACTTCATGAACCGCCAACAAGTTGGTCTAAAACTTGCTGTGCAAACTTAAAACTTCACGAATTTCCGTTTATAATTCTCTTTGGGCCTAAGAAGCCGTCAGCATTGCCGTGGTAGCTGCAGGAGGCCATGGCAGTCTCCATCCGCGTTGCTCCAGCGCGGGCTTCGGCCACCCGGCGGCATTTGGGCTTGAGGCTTCGGATCCGATCCAGGAAACGACTCGATCGAAGTCCATCGACGCCAGCAGCTGAAGTTGAGGTTCGTGACGGTCTCCGACCAGTACTAGTCGAACAGAGTTCAATCATCATGCCCAGAATCCACGGTTCGAATCCTCAGCCTGTTTTCCAAACCGGTTCTTACTGCTCCGGGTAGGCCGATGAGCAACCGTCCGGCATCTCGGCAGAACGATTGTCCGGAACATCTACGGAGACTGACTGATTTTTATAGTGCTTGGGTGTATGTTGTAGTTTACGTGGACTATAAGGAGATGTTTTTGTCCGCATGGGCTTCTTGGGGCATGGTGCTGCTTTTTACTTCGACTTGTGCGGTGCCATGTATGGCCGACAACTTCGGTTCGGTTGCAACTTCTATTGCGGTGCCTTGATATTTGGCATAGGGTTTTAATAGATAATGTCGATAACCACCATGAAGGAATATCTCAATCCAATTATTCAGACGCCCTAGTATCGACAGCCTGCAACTCGAAACTTGCAATGCGCAGTTGAAGCGTGTGGAATCTTGGTGAGAATTTCCCCACGAGTTAGACTAGTTACCGGTTTAGGGCTCAGTGACTACAACTGCAGTGCCTGCAGAATGAACTTTGGGGTTGGAGCATTCTGACAGTTCACTCCATGGGGTCGCAAAGATGAAGTTTCCATAGCGTGTGCAACAACCTGGTCTTGACCTCTCAGGATGTGCAGGAGTTTGATCCGCTGTCATTCATCATTGTGGAGGCCAAGCACGACAAGCCTGGAGTGCTAGGCGAGATCATGCAGCCACGCAGCTCTTCAAAGGGGGCTAATCGTTGAGACACATGGTGGTCATGATGTTTTGAGTCTAAATGGGGAAGGAAGGATTCTTGCCGTGGGTTTGTGGATACCAGAAATCAGGATCAACGATTCTCATTCACTCCGGAACGGAATGCAGGATCCCCTCGAAAAGTGTTCTCCCTGGCGGTTTCGGCGGCAGAATGCCAAATATCCTCGAAGCAGAGCCGAGATACATAAAAAGCGATATTCCTTTGTGCCGAAAGGTTACCGAACTTTGTTATTGAAAATGTAGAGCAAACGCCTATTCAACTTATTGAGGCCCTCATATTAAGCCCCAACCCTAAGCCCCAGACCCCAGCCTAGGCTCTTCGCCAGCTGCGACTCTTGGCTTTCACTCTCCGGAGCTTTGCCCCAAACCCCAAACCCCAAACCCTGCACGCCGCCCCAAACCCTAAACCCGCCCTAAACCCCAAAGCCCCAAACCCCAAAACCCTAAAACCTCAAAGCCCCAAAGCCCCAAAACCCCAAGCCCTAAAGATGAACCCGGGGTCTGCCAAGTGATCTAGCAAGGAGTGGCTCAGAAGCTCCTGAGGAAGTATAGGGCTTAGGGTTTAGGGGTGTGAGTTATTTGCAATATAGTCATGAAGCCCTAGCCCCATCCATGCCCTTGCAATTGCGCAGACCGGCCAGAAACGTGTTCAACGATCTTCTGGATTCTGGAGGCTTAGCATTGCCTAGTCTCTACCAGCCAGGAGCGGGTGAAGTGACCTTTTTGTAAAGTTATAATGGGGCAACTGTATCCGCTGAGGCCGGTTGAGTGGATCGTTGGTTCTTCTTAGGGCGTTGGGGCTTAGATTACACCTGCAATAAGATGATATAGCGGCCGTAATCATCACCTATATTATGTTTTTTTTTTTGGGGGGGGGTTCCTTATTATAACTATAGTATACTATACCCCCAAAGCCCTAGTCCAATTATTAAGGCTCCTATATTACTATTACTCCTCAACCCTTTGGCTGCACTCTAATAGGGACCCAGCGTCGGTTCCCACCCCACAGGTTCCTTGGCATCCTTGTAGGAGGCACGGTCTCTAAGTTAAAACTGCTAAGCTTGAATAGAGGCAAAAGTGCTTTTGTGCAGAAATGTGCAACTGCGCACATACCTGGAAATTGTACATGCGATCTATCTGCATGATAGCTATATAAACATACCTATATCTATGGACAGGCAGATAGATAGGTTTTACGTATGTTTGTATATATGTTTATAAACACATACATGTATATTATATAACCACCCTGAAGCCTGGACCCCAAATCCTAAACCCTAAGTCCTACATCCTAAACCTAAACCCTAAAAGAAAAACCCTAAACCCTAAGTTCAAAGCTAAACTCTAAATCCTAAACCCTAAGCCCGAACCTAAACCCTGCACCCGAACATCCTCTAAGGATATCAACCTCACTCACATCGAGTCCCGGCTGAAGTCCTTCACGCGCGGCTGGGCTCTTGTTAATGAACGTACGTAATTTAAGTTGCCATACTGGAGATCTTTCGTAAAAATATTGGAAATTCTAAGTATATCTCTGATCCCTAAGCCCTAAAACCCCTAAACTTCGCTTCCATTTATGGTGGTCCTTGACAAGAGCCCAGGGGATGGGCCCTCCTTCCACATCGACTTCCAAGGCCCTGTGGAGGCCCTCTTTCGGGGTTTTTGGGCTGTGGGGTTAGGGTTTCAGGGGTTTTGGGGTTTTGGGTTTTTGGCCGTCGTTTACCGTCAGGGAACTCTTCAGCCCAAGCTTCCGTCCGTTGTCGTCCACAGCTTTTCCTGCGCGCTCTTGTCTTAAGACGGGGCAAGGGTTGCATGGGGGGCTGGGAGGCAACTCAGTCCGTACTGAGAAAGGGTTTGGGGCTTACGGGTTTGGGGTTGATATACGGTGCTGGTTGTGTGTAGACATATGCATGTGTTGGTATTCAGAAGTGCTTTCACGAGGGTTATTCCCATAGGCTTTAGATTTGCTTTTGTGCAGGTCTTACAGGATTATTTGATAAGGTGTAGGGTGTTTGTAAGACTCTCTCTCTCTCAGGGTTTGGGGGTTTGGAGGTTCAGGGTGTAGAGTTTTGTCGATGAGGGTTCCGGTTTTGGTGCGTGGGCTTGAGCATTTAGCGGTTAATTGCTTTCTTGCCGCCTGCAAGAGCCGGAAAAGAGATGCAGGGCCGGAGAGCCCATGTACTATAAAACCCACAACTAGCAGCTGGTGCTTGAACGAAACAGAAGGTGCTGGCATCTCAGAGATGCCTAGACACATGAAAAGCATGCTTCCAAAACAGAAGGAACTCCCTCAGATGTGCATATATGTATGCAGGGACATGCTTTGTATATAACATATATATATATATGTATACACACTTGTAGTGTACGAGAAGTTCCACATACACACATAGGTAAATAAATAAATGAACATATATATATATATACATACGTACATACATACATACACCTTTGCCGTATGTAGACTCCACAGACGTGTGCAAGGGTTTCATTCGGATGTCTTTGATGAAAAGCCGGATGTCTCTAAACTAGTTTGTACAAGACCGTAAAGCCTTAAACCTTAAACCCAACCCCCTAAAACGTAATTGCACCGCAGGTGAATATTCCCAACTACATCCTTCTAGGAGTTGTGAAAGAAGCCTTGTCTCCCAAATGCATTTTAGGTTTTAAGGTGCAGGGCTTGGGCCTAGGCTTCTCATAATAGGCTTTTACTTGTGGGTTGACTGTGTGGAGTTTAGGTTTAGGTTTACCTTGCAGGGTGCCTGCCCAGTGACATGCAGATTCTATATTCGAATATCGTTAGCTCAGACTGTGCTTCCGCCATGAGCAACCAAAATCCATGTCCAAGTTGCACATGTGAAAAAACCCGCGAAAGCCGACCTTGCAATACCGTCCGGACGATATTGACAAGTTTTGCCTTCAAGCCCGGTCTCAGCCTTCAACCCACATCAGCGCTTTTCAATTGCCCAAGTCGTGGGAGAGCAAGCACAATCGCAGTGCAGGCGTGAAGCCCGGGCTCTAAACACGGTGAAAAGCCCCGAGCCCTAAAATTTACATGCTGCAAACCCCTTGATACCATACACAAGCGCTACATATATACATATGTATATATACAGAAATAAAAATATATATATATATGCCGCAACAACACTGAGTCAAAGCGGCCAGGAGCCCAAGATTCAACGCCTGATGAAGGACCTGTTCTGGGCTCCCCCTGTATGGTTTAGGGTTTAGGGTTGAGGGTTTCGTTTTCGATTCTCTAGAATTTCCAACAGACCCGATATCCAGGTATTTGGATGTAGGTAAGTACGACGGAAGTCAAGGAGAGTAGTGGTGTATGGGATTTCAGATCTTGCGTCTCAGGGTTTGGTGTTTGCCTTGGGGGCTTGCCGGTATGTCAGCTGGGACCACCTTCGAAACTGTAGAGGTCTTTGGTGCCATGGCACGGTTCGTTGCACCTGTTCGGAAGAGGGGCCACGCGTTTGGAAAAGTGCTTCCCTTTTACCGGCTCCTACGGTTGCATGGCGTGGAAGTTCCATTAAATCATTTTCTCGCACCTTGCATCGTCCAGCGGATGAGTTCTTCAGTTGGGGTTTTGAACACCACCCACAGACTTGAATATCCATGTTACACCTCCATTAGCAAGCATCCCGGCTCTAATATTCAACGAATAGTCCTGAATCAAGGTGGTTTGAGGTTGAGGACAGCTGTGCAGGCATGCCGCTTGACACATATTTTGGATGCTCCAGACCCCAACTGTGGTTCGCCTCTAAGCCCGAGAACTTAGCCGCAAGCCCTGGGCTCTACTGCAGTGTTCGGTGTCGAAACTTCCTCAACCCGCCAAGCCTGAAGCCCGGGCAAGAAAAGATATCACCTTTAAGACCCATACCGCGAAATCCGCAGCTAAAACTTGTGAACTTGTCAAACCCTGTCTTCAAGTAACCTAGGAGTCTCAGGACAAGCAATACTATTCCATTGTGTCGGGAATTTGGGACATTTACTTTTCGGCAACGTCTTGCAATCTTGCCCCACTTGGGGGGGGGAGCAAGAATGCCAGCAAGCTTGCTCCCCCCCGGAAGTGGAGCAAGTGGGGGAAGATTGCAAGATTGTTTGGCAATCGTTCTCAAATAGCTGTTCCAAATTCCCGGCACAGTGTACTATTCCTTGGGTTTGCCCACTAGATCTTGTCCTTGGTATGCCCCCACAGCCCATTTCCAAATCGTTAAGGCCCTTACATGTGTAGTTCTCGAAATTAGGGACCCTTTTTAGGCCCCCAAAATAGCCACTCTTGTCCAAAAGGGGCCCTAACTCGGAGAACTACCCATATCACTCATAAAACTTTAAAGCACTATAGGCCCGAAGGATTGAAATCCGATAAGCCCTATAAAAGGCCCTGACATAAGCCTTCAACCTAAACCCTATAAGCGCTATGCAGGCCCTGACACGAGCCCTAAACCTTAAACCCTAAACCCCAAACCTTGAAACAACCTTAAAAACCCTAAAGTGCCCTAAACCCTAGACCCTAAACCTTGAAACCCTATAAACCCTATAAAAGGCCCTGACATGAGCAGATCAAAGAGCCCTAAACCCTAAACCTTAAAACCCTATAAACCCCTATAAACCCCCTCTATAAACCCCTATAAAGCCCCCTATAAAAAGGCACCTTTGCATGAGGAGATCAATGGCCTCTCTCGGATCCTAAACCCCTAAACCCCTAAACCCCTAAACCCTAAACCCTAAACCCTAGCTAGGTGGGAGGCAAAAAAACCCTATGAAACCGTAAAAAAGGCCCCTTTGTACGAGGAGATCAAGGTGCTCTCCGGGGTCTACAGCGTGGAAGCCATGGCTCCGCGAGAGGCCTTGGGGACGGTTTCGGGTTTAGGGGTTTTGGGTTTTGGGGTTTTGGGTTTTGGGTTTAGGGGTTTAGGGGTTTAGGGTTTAGGGCGTTTAGGGGGTTTCGGGGTTTAGGGGTTTAGGGTTTAGGGTTTAGGATCGCAAAAACCCCCAAGGGAGCAAGTTCTCCTACACCGGGGCTTAGGCTTTGGGGTACATAGGGTTTAGGGTTTAGGGCTTTGGGTTTGGGGTTAATAGGGCTTGGGGTTAATAGGGTCTGGGGCTCATAGGGTTTCGAGTTTCGGGTTTAGGGTTTAGGGTTATAGGGCTTAGGGTTTGGGGTTCGTAGGGTTTAGGGTTTCGGGTTAAGGCGGTTAAGGTTTTGGGTCTAGGGTTTCGAATGAATACTGGGGAAGGGATGATGAGCAATAGTGCAACCTTCCAGGATCCCTGTAGAATGAAAGCATGATTGGGCACAAAACTCTGTTTCATTTCATTCAGGCTCGTTTTGAGGTATCGACTACAGCTTGCAGTGGAGCCCTACATGTGCAATCGTCATGTCTGCTGGCACTCACCAAGTCCATGGCTTGAAAAACCATGGAGCCCTTCTTACCAACACGCTCAGCTCGACTGGCGCCCAACGGGAAACAGAAGCATATCGGTGATGTGAACTTAGGCTTTTTTTTCAAAGTTTCAGGGTTGAGGGCTTATAGAAACCCTACTCTCCGTTAGGACCCTTTGGGTACCAGCAACGCAATCGAACAAAGAAACTTGAGAGCAGAACTTGCAAGGTACTCCCGCTCCCCTATACGATCGGGTGCAGGGTTTAGGTTTAGAAGCCCCAGACCCGAAGAATGATTTTGGAAGGTGATATTTCAGCGTCTGTTAGTTGAACATGCTCTTGCAACAACCAGTGCCTCCAAACCAAGCTGGATGCTTACCGGCGGGCTGCAAAGCTAAGTATCCCCCACATAGGTACTCAGACCCATTGAGAACGAAGCTTCAAGGGATTCGCAAGCCTCCATGTAGTCGCTTATAACCTCTACACTCTTATCCAAATCCATCCAAGCAAACAACCTTGACTGAAGCCCTTGTTTCTGAAATACGACATGGCCCTAAACCCTAAGCGGGTTGAGAACGCTGCAGTGTCAAGGTCGGAGTAAGTACTGCTATCCGTAGCTATCCCCTCTACAGTCCCCATATTTGAAAATGCTGCAGTACATGGCATATCCCCACAACCCTATTCTGATTATAACCACTGCGCATATTAATGTTGAGCCCGATCCAGCCAAGCCTGGCTCTGCCCGCAATTCAAGCTCAGCCCAGCATAGTTTTTGACATCCTATATGAACCGAAAACCGACATCCTACAAAAACCGAGAACTCGAGGCCCCCAGAGGTGAACACTAGAGTAGAAATATGTAGAAATCCTTGGTGCTGAACCGGTGACTAAGATACGTTGTTATACCCCAGACTGTGGTCTGAGTTTTAGTGCTTATAAAGCCTAAATCCTGTCATTTGCCAGGTTCCATGGTCGGAGTCTTAGATCCGTCGAATCCCTTTTGCCGCGGACGTGGGCTTCAGCTCTGGGTTCAGTGGGTTGTGAGATTTCAGCATAAGGGACTTTCCCAAAATTAGGGGTACCTTTTTTTGGGCCCTTATAATAAGGATCCTACTATTTAGGGTGCTCTATTAGGGTCCCCTATTTTCGGCAACTCTATTAGGGTCCCCTATTTTCGGCAACCCCCATCAGGGTTTGGGGTTTTGCAGGGCTTAGGAGTCAAGGGTTACAGCCTGGGCAGTCTTCACCGGTTGGCTTGAGAGCCGGAGGTTTCGTAGTCTCGGCCTGCCTGGATGCCCCTGGGAGACACTGGTACGCGTATTGCGCTTTGGGCTTGAAGCCTTGTTTTCTGACCCTGAGCTCACCTAGGTTCCCCTTGAACATCCGCGACCTGGACCTCACGGTGGATACCTTGGACGGTGGATCGGCGCTGATCAATGAGGACCCCGAAGCCCTGGGCGCCCTAAGCCCTACTCTTCCTCTGGCCCTTGAATGATTGATAGTTTAATTGGTTGACTGTGTTGATCGATTGATTGTTTGCTTGTTTGGTTGATTGACTGATTATTTGATTGATTGATCGTTTGATTGATTGACTGATTGGATTGATTGATTGGTTTATTGATTGATTGATTGATTTACTGTATGATTCATTGATTGACTACTTGATGGGCAATGCAGTCCCGGCAGCGATGGGAAAGTAGCTGCAAGGCCGCGACACGATCCTAGGCCCCAACTTCAGGACTTTCACGAGGCCCAGGGCACGTCATGAGACAGGTCTTTCACTTTTCGTCGTGCCGAGGCCCAATCCTAAAACGAAACCCAAGCCAGAAAGAAAACAGCTACCCAATACTTTCTGGCAATCGAAATGGCAGCATTGTCTGCATGATCTGTGAGCAAGGACCCAATCGAAGATTGATCAGCTCTCCTGTCTGGCAGGCTTAGAGCCCAATACCCTTTCACATTCAGAGATTCTCTGTACATTTTGGAAGGTGAGGGGTTTGAGGGTTTAAGGTTAATTGTCAACAGTGGAATCCACGTGTATAGACATCTCAGAGCTGTGCAGGAACACGTGCAGCCTTGAAAGCATCCAACACCTCCTCCGAAGCGTCATGTCGAGCATGGCGGCACAAGTTGGCTCCCAATTCCACCGGAAACCCTAGAGACACGAAGCTGTTCTTTATACACCGCGAGAGTCTGAACAAACCCCAACGATTGTCTACCCTCCAAACTCGAATCTCCGAACTGGGTCAACAGAATCAATTGAGTTTTAAGTAGAAATATGTGTGTATGTATGATATATATATATATATGTATAAATAACCTGTGCATATGTATAGGTACATGTGTACACAGGCACGGCTTAGGGTGTTCGGGCTTGGGTGGAATCCTGAGCTTTCCAGAACTGCAAAGAGCTGGTCGTACGACCGAAATGCCAACCAACTACCCATGGGCCCCTAAGTAGTTCCTTTTTGTGGGGTTATATTTGGAATCCTAGAAGGTAATCCCAAAAAGGAACTACTTAGGGGCCTATGGGTATCTTGATTGCAGTCGCCGAAGTCTATGTCAGCAGTACAGCAACGCAAGCTCTGTGCCCTAAAGACAACCGTAACCCCTAAATGGGGGAGGCAACAAACACCTGAACCCTCAACCCTGACCCCAAACCCCACTGCAATGCAGGCATGTCCTAGCTATGTGGGAGGGGAAAAAACCTCAACCACAGGACCATCCCGGCTTCAGCGATGCCGAGTACCGGGGCAGGCCGACAGGGACGTGAACAGCATTCCGTCGTAGTGTAACACAACCACAAATTTAGCTCCTATGTATTCCCTTGGTAGTGAAGCAAGTACCTTTAGCATTTTGGGGTGCTGTACTACTCTGGCGGTTCAGGATTCAGGGGTAAGTATGATTTTAGGCTTTAGGATCTAAAGAGTTCTGCTTTGTTCGGGCAAGTTCCTGGTGAGTGTCTGCGAGCGTGCCAACTCATAAGTCAATGCAGGAGGGTAGTTTCCTGACCATCCAGCACAATACTGACCCTTTCTGTACTCGCCTGTACTCCGCTTCTAGAATACAGTGTGAAGTTAAACGTTACCTTGTGCGAGTCCTTTCATCGTCCTCGTCATGTGCAGCATCCGTCTTCTCCCGGATGACTTACTCAATATAGAAGCTTATGTCAGTCATAGGGTTCCATAGTATATTTACGTATACACTAAGGGAGCCTAAAGCCGCATTCAAATGCCCCACGCTACTAGGCGGGTCCATGTATACTGCCAGTATGAAATTGTGCGCTTAGGACCATCCTAATAATCGTTTGGCGGGGCCTACTTCTAAAGTAGTAGTACATATGCACCCTCTTGGTTCGGGTACTACATGGTCTTAGGGTTCCTTGATATTAGACTATAAAGGAGACCAAGGCCGTATTCAAATGATTAAGGTCCCTAGGGTACTGAGCGCAGGAGGGATCGCATCGTCCAACTGGCGAAGGCGTACCGCCACGGAGATCGCCTGCCCTTTATAGAGCCGCTGGGTTCGGTGGATAGTGGGTTTGGGGTTTTGGGTTTATCTCTCTCAAGGGCTTGTACAAGCAAGGCACACAAAAGAGCCTCTTCGTAGCTCGTGACAGTGGCCTCCTTTCAGTTTTGAAGAGTTTGGGGGGGGTGTCGGACGGTGAGGGGCCAGATCTTAGTTATCTCCATGCACTTTTGGGAAGCCCGAACCGGAATCCTATGTAAAGGAGAGGCTCCAGTCCCCAAACGCCTACACCCCTGCACGTCGAGGGCACAAGTAGTATGCTTCCGGGTCTTCTCAGTTGCAGTCGTGCACCCTTGTGAGAGAGTTTTGCGGCTTTCGGGGTTGGTTTAGGGCTTTTATGGGAAGAGGAAGTTTAAGCCCTCCTACTCAAGGAACCTCCAGATCCCTTCGTCTGTCGATGGAGGAGCCACAATCTGCCGTCTTCCCGCATATTCCAGTTACGAGCACAAGTTGTGTTATAGTTACCAAAACCATGCTCCGGGCGTTCGAGCATGTTTCCTAGTGTACCTGGTCGGTCTGCTTTGTGGAGTCAAATCGGATGAACAATGCCGTGCAGCGCTTTCGCTCTGATGGTGAATATGTGTGTGATTGGGTGAACCTTACCAGATTTACCGCAACTTGACGAGTCTGCAATCTCTTCGCGTACCATTTCGCTTTTCCGAATCGTCACTCGGCGAGAGGAAACTGTCAAGTGAAGCCACAGCTGAGGTATACCGACAAAGAGATATCAACTTGGCAGGCCTTCAGCCACTCAGGGTGCAGCGTAGCTATCGCTCTCGGCATGTGGTGTTATTCTTGTCTGTTGGCTTCGGTTTGGGATGATGGGTGTTTAGCTGTTTCCTGGACACGACTGCATGCAGACCTATCTAAAAAACTAGCTCCCCTCCCACGTTTCGTAGGCTGCCACCTCGTCGCAGGGCGAAAGTTCATCGTTTTGCCTTTTTGCAGCCTCACGTGCACGTTGGGGTAGGGATCCGCTGCTTCGGCTTCGTCGATAGCGCAGGCTGTTTACGAGCGGCTGCAAGATTGCCACGCGAAGTGGGCTTGCACTGAGTACAGCACCTTGCACTGATTCATCAGACCAGTCTTGCAGGAGAAACTGTGTAGCCGAGCATAAAGAGGTATCGGTATAGAGCTTCGTTCATTTTCACTCTCCAGCCATGTTTCGGTTCAGAGCATACCATGAGGACTGTGGAAGGAGGCCGTCATACTTTCGATCCCTGTCCGTTTTTTTCTTACGCACCGGGTCCCCAATAACTCACCTTCGGCTCCGACCCAGGAGAAATGCTGCAGCAGATGGAGAAGTACTGCGGCTGCGTCCTCAGAGTGTGGCGGAGAGTGGGGTTCGACGGGTCGTGGTCGGAGGTGAACAACTACTTCGCAGCTAAGAAGGCAACCTTCTAACTCCCATAGAGAATATCTATTCATTCGCACATACATACGTACATAATATGTGTATATATCTTATGCATGTACACATATTTTACACACATATACATGTACTGTATGTATATCTATATCTATATATATATATGTAGATAAAGATATACACACGTCAATGTTATGTTTTGCTTACCATACATCATCCCACCATGATCAATAGGACTGGCCTTTTTGGGTCCAAGGAGTTCGACGCTTGGGATCATGAAATCATACTGAAGGTGCTTGTATCGATGTAGGATGTTTTGGAGTCGGAGTACTTGCGAAAGACTTTCCCTAAGACTCCTTACTAGAACTTCCCTAGAATCTGCTCCAAATCCTACTCTTGTTTGTTCAGGCCCCAAATCATGATGTAAGCCCTTCCCACAGATGATTTAGCGGGGTTGAGCCCGAGTCAGTGGGCTAAACGGTTGCTCGGGGTCTCAACCGCGGAACAGGGAAGGTACCCAAAGTCTTCGTTGTCCTGGCTTGTTTGGGTTACCTTCACAGGATCGAAGGCTTAACATGTCTTAAACCAACAACGGAACTACAATTCATACTACTGGTGGGCCTGAAATGCTTGATCCCAGGCTACAGGGCGAACAACATTCCGCAGCAACTTGGCCGGAAAAGTGGCCGAAATTGTATCTACTGTAATGAAATCAGCCGACAATAATAGTCAATAGTACAGGCTTTGGATAATTTGGAAACGTGCGGCATGTTCTATGTTTTTCTGGGGGCAGCTGCGCCGACATTCCACGATTTGTCGACAAGCTCATATCTAAAATCCGGATAAACAGCCTTCGAGCTCCAGGGTCACCAAGCCAAAACGTCACGGGACCGAGGGCTGTGATCTTAAAAGCACGCCGGAAGGCAACTTCAGGTATTGAGTAGTTGTATCCGGAAGAAGTGCTTTTAAGTGTACTATAAATTTATCATACGGGTGGTTAAAGTGGGCCTGTTGTAGTCCCTAGACTCAGACAATAAACTACCTATGATGCACCCAAAAGGCCTAGTCCAAATATTGAGGCTCCTGTGTCAGGTTTCCGGCTATCTCTTTTTTCGTCAACCTCTTCTTTTGTACCTGTCAGCTGGGCGAAAGCTTGCATAGTTGACTTGGACATCCGTAGTTGTGTCTGCAGACACTTGATACTACCACATAGGCGTTGGAATAGATTCTTTATAAGTATCATAAGAATATTTAAATGTACTCCGGGTTCCTTAATCCCTTTATGCTATATAACATGCTACAACAGCCTGTTCGAATTATCAAGACCCTTATTGTAGGGTCTTCCATGAACCAGAATCTCCGGGCTCCTCCCGACAACAGTTACTGCCAGCATCTTGTCCTTCCTGCTGCAGTTTGGGAATCCCACCCTGGAGTCAGAACATTGAACATGAATCCCAAGCCCTAAGCGCCACGACCCTGTACTACACCCGAAACCCTGAAACCCAAAACCCCCTACCAAACCCTGCATGCTAAACCCGAAACTCCAAGCCCCTGAGGCTGGCTGATATCTCAGACTTCCTGCAGCAGCGGACAGGCTTCCCGGTGCACCAGAAAAACGCTGTCGATTGCAACCCGGAACAGCAGTTGATGATCATGAGCTGTAGGGTTCTGAACAGCAACATACAACGAAGCCGTTTATTCTGACGCTTTGGGTCTGTGGCCTCTTCTGCTTCGAGAATTCAACCCGTTCCATCCCCTTCCCAAAGACTGTGTTCCAGCACTGTCATTGCGAAATCATGCTCATGACAGAAACAAACGGAAAGACCGAAACAGCAGCAGACATCTCATGAATGCTCGTTCCCAGCAACACTGTTGAGGTTGGTATCGACCAGAACTTTGGCCATGGTTTTAGCCAACGACTGCACCGCTGAACATATCGAAATGAAGATTGTTTGCACAAGCAAAGAGAACGCAAAAACCGGGTATGGTCTTCGTAAAACAAGCTAGGGCGCCGGATTTCTAAATCCTAAACCCTGAGCCCGAAGCCCCGGCCATAGTCGTCGAAGGGCTGATTTTGCTTCGCTCGCTTCTGAGCATTGATCTCAGCCATGCGGGAGGCAAAAAAGCCCTAAACCCTGACCTTTATACAAACCCCAAAGCTAAACCTTAAAACAAAACGAAGCATCGAAGCCTAATTCCTATACCGAGAGGCTTCACCTTGCGCCCGATCAGCGGTCTGCTGTCGGCACGCGACTTCCTGAATGCTTTGGCCTTCCGGGCTCCCAGAAACAAAAGAGGGTTTAGGCTTTAGGGATTAGGGTTAAGGGTTTAGGGTTTTTAGGCTTTAGGGAAGGGAGTTTAGGGTTTAGGGTTAAGGGTTTAGGGTTTTTAGGCTTTAGGGAAGGGAGTTTAGTGTTTAGGGTTTGTAGGCTTTAGGGAAGAGGAAAAAAAGGTTGAGATTTGGGTTTCGGCTTTAGCGGTTATAGCCCTAAACCCTAAACCCTGAACCCTGAACCCTAAACCCTAAACCCTATAGGGCTTTAAGGTTCGATGACCACAGAGGTTTCCAGCGCTGACACGAATCAAGACATGGGCCTAGGAAGCTTGGACGCTTAACTCTGAACGTTTAGGGTTTTGCGGGGTTAGAAGCCGTTACAAGTGCATGAGCAAGAAAATTCAATCGCCGGGGTGTCCATGCGCCTCTGCGAACTTCTTCAAAAAGCGACCACGACGACCCAACAGCCTGCGCATGTTTGTTTACGTATACACAGTTATGGAGGTCGGCGGAAATCCCCTTCGGGGCCAAACGGCACAGGAATTGGATTCTCAAAGTATCGTGCAGTCAGGATTTCCTGTCGAATACTTGTTCATGATTTTTGAAAAGGGTTGAACAGGTGGACGTCTTCTACTGCTTTCCTGTTGTTGTTCGGGGCTTTTAGGGTGCGGGGCATGTACGAGTGACACCAAAGTGGAGGCTTGAGGGAGGTGAGGGGGAATGCGGAAGGTTGATGGTGGTTTGACATAAGCAGTCGTGGGTGCTGAGCAGTGATAGCATCGTTCCCGTCATGTATATCGTCATCGGCACTGCCGCCACAGTGTATGTTAATCATGCCTGCTGCGCACACCCTCGGAATCAAGCATGAAGCATGGTTCCACCTGCCACCCAAGGTTTTCTATTCGACGCAGTACATCAGGACTGCCCGCCCAGCGAGCCCCCAACATCGGGAAAGCTAAGTAACACGAGAATATTCGTCCTTTAACGTGTATTCATTCAGGTCACGGAGAGCTCCTGGCACTGGGGTTTCCGATTCGGGTGCTGTTTGCACAGGGGAATAATTACATTCGAGGTCGCAATGGAAGAAGCCCTTCAGCCATCAAGCTTGAAATCACCAGACCAACTCCAGAACGGGAGCCGAGCTACAGAAGAGAAGCGCCAAACATTGCATAGCAATGCTAAAGAGCATGCTTTCTAACAGTCACTGGGGCACTAGGGCTACGCAGAGGATGCACATTCTAGTCATGACGTTTAGAAGTAGCAGTGGAGTCCCGTGGAGCCAAAAAACGATCTTCACCATGATGGTAAAGAGCACTTATATGAATATGAGTTGGGTTTCATTACAAGTATCTCCATATGGGATCCCAACACACACACACATTGCTGCCTACTTTTTTTTAAACCGAAGGCTCTTGACCTCTAGCCCAGACACCATCCTCCTGCACACCCCAAGATCGACGAAGTGTGCCGGACGTTCTCCAAATGACAACCAGGTTTTTTTTGTCAGAGAAGGATTCCGTAGGTCCTTAATATGGGGGGGCCTTAATGATTAGACTAGGGTTTTGGGGTATGTTCTACTATAATATCATCATCATAAGGCTTCATAAGGAACCCTCAAGACCTGATTGTAAATATCAAGGCCCCTACATTAACCCCTGCTCCTGGACTATACGACAAAGGGTAAGGGTTTGCAGGGACTCGATGTCTGCGACAACATGATTCTCAGAGTTTCCTGATGGTTTCTGTAGGAGACTTTTGACGTGGTCCCCAATTATCTCAAGTATCGTTAAGGGCTCCTAAGCAGCGGGTTTTTGGAGCTCCTTCGGTCAAGTCTTGCTGAAATACGTGCAGGCACCATGGAAACCCCTTCTACACTCCAGAGCCAGATGCGGCCGGGCTTGCATCGATATGTGGCGGTTGTGGCTTGGGGGCTTGGGCTTCACATGCTGGGTTTAGGAATTATCGAAGGCGCCTACCAATTCTTGAATTCTGGTCGCCTCAGCGCGGAAATGTTTAGAACAACTTGCTGGCTTGGGGCTGTAGAGTCTCCGGTCGGCTTGAACGTCTTTTCAGGGGCTCCCCGCTTAAGGTCTAGGGGACGGTCCAGGGTTTAGGAGATTCGCACGAGCCCAAAACCCTGCATAAATGTTGCATGAACTCTAATGGTCTTTCCAGATGCTAAAGACCTGACTAAGTCAGAAGCAGTCATTTCCTACGTTCTGACTTACATCCTTGGTAATTTAAGTCGAGTGCTTCTTGCTAGCCGCTAGGCAATCTAGCTACAAGCTCGTCTTACAAACAAAACCAAGCTGCACCCTGCAAGCAGTCCTGAAGTGTACGCCCAAAGCTTCTGAGTGCCGTCCCAGCCCCAAGCCCCGCACCCTATACCCTCTAGGCGAAACCTAAACCCTAACCCTTATACTCAAGCCATGTGTGAAATTCCGAACCCTATCAGTTTCCAAAACCCTAGTCCGTAAGCCCCAACTCGAAGCCCAGGTTTGTCATGAACTGTTGGGTCACGTCCCCCTCTTTGCGAATCCGGCCTTCGCGGATTTCTCGCAAGAGATAGGTCGCCCGACAGCGATGTCACTACATGGTACTGACGTTACTCACATTACTAATGGTTATAGTTATCATGCTAGTGGTAGTGGCAAGGGTAGTCGCGATGGTAGTAAAACCGGTTGCAGTAGTCATAGCAGTAATAGTAAGCTGAATCGCAGAATTGCTGCTGTCCTTTGACCCGGTCCATTGCTAGAGTCCCTTGCAGCTGGGGTTCTTTCCAAAACTACACGATACTTCATGATGTAGTATCCCCCAAACTCTATAAACCCTAAACCCCTATAAACCCTAAACACCCTAAACACCCTACAGCCTACGCCCCTCGACCCTGAACCCTCAAACCCCATGGGTCTAGGGTTTAGGGCCTAGGGTTTATTTATAGCTCGGAAGCCTGGGCCTGTTATGCCCCGAAGCACTGTGTAATGCCGCAGCGCAGGATTTTTCTAGGGGAAATCTTTATCTTTGTGATTGAGGGTTTAGGGTTTACAGGGTTTAGGATATAGTTTTGTGGTTTAGGGTTTGGCAGAATCGCAGCAGGCCAGTTGCAAACGGGTTTAGGGCTCATAGCATCATAGGGTTTAGGGCTTAGGGTTTAGGATTTGGTTTCATGGTTTAGGGTTTCGGGTTTATAAGCTTGGGGGTTTAGAATTTAATTATGAGATGTGTTCTGTTGTCGTCCAAGCTTCTTTCGTAGAGTTTTTGCCGATGTCTGCCCCAGGCCTCGCATCTCTGGCAGCCTCCGACGACGACGTCACACGCCTTGCGTCGGTGTACTGGTTCACCGTGGAGTGCTCCGGACGGATGCTTTTCCCGGGTATGATTAGGGTGTTCAGCTTTTCGTGGGGCTTCCCGGTTACGGTTTGGTAGTGCGGCTATGCCTGGCCTTGCCCTTGTCGTTCTCGTGCTTTCTCCGTCCAAATCAGTGGCCCCAAACCCTAATCAAGCCCCTGGTCTCCAGGCTTTCGGCTGTAGTTCAGGGTGCAGACACGGCTCCTCGACCCCAAAAAACATGCACCTTCAGGATGCGTAAGTTTTCGCGGTCATTGCTGGAGTCCCGACTAGTCCAAAGCACCTGTCATAGTAGAATGGTAGGGTTTCCATATTGGGAATGACTATTTATTATGATTTGGGGAAGTATCCCCATAACCCTAAACTCTAATTTTCTTCATGATAGAAGTAATCCGTATGTTTTTTTTTGCCAGTGGGTTACTGAACAGCCTAGTAGTGGTGAATCTTGCCAGCAGCACTCTGATGCCAAGTTTGATATGCATGGATGAGGTGGAATTGCATAGAGCAATCACTGTGATTGTAGCTTGATTCAGGCGTGCCAGGACTTGCAGTCACTGCAAATTCTTGACAGTAACCCAACATAAGCGTCTAAATCTTTGCCTACCGTATTCCTGACGGTTCCCTGTTGAGTTGAAAATATATAACACTCCAAGACCCTGCTCCAAATATTCAGTGAAGACCCCTGTATTAACTCTCTTTGCTTGCTTGCCCCTGAATCCCTAGGTCCCTGAGTAGTACCCTTTTGCCCTTTTTAACTTAGGGCCCCCTTACTAAAACCGAACAGTAGGAAAAAGGGTACCCTTATTATAAAGAGGCTACTCAGGAACCAAGAATCCAATGCTCTAGGACTCTCGGAGCCATCTTGTAATCTCTGTCCTTACACTCGGCCCCTATTGGTTCAGGAACTTCCTGGCCATCTAACCTGGGAGGCCTCTACAGTACTAGCGGCGTAGTATGGAAGATTGCAAGCTCCCTAGGGTGACAATTTTGTGAGCTAACGAAGCAAGTACTAATGCTATCTACATGGGGTATTGAGTCCCCCAAACCCTAAAATCTTAAAGCCCTCCGAAAGCACGGTTAACCCAATGAGCACCTAAAGCATCTGAGATCAAAGGCTAAACCTCATGACATCCCAATACAAGCCTAAACCTTAAGCATTTATCAAAACCCCTGATATCACAGCCCTCGCGGGGCTAAACCCTAAATGTTCGCACGTTGAAGCCATGCCTGCCTTGTGTGAGTGTGTGAGTCGAAACCTTAACCGTTCTTGTAATGAGGTTCGGATTGCTGCGCGAAGGCCGGCAAGAACTGGACCTCATGGTCACAACCCATGCTGTTAGGGTTCGTCCACAAGAACTTGGGCATCCACTGTCTAAAGGTTTAGGGTTTAAAGGCTTAGAAGGCTTAATTAGGATTAAGGGTTCAAAAGGTTTAGGGTTCAATTAGGGTTGAGGGCTTGAAGGTTTAGGGTTTGATTAGGGGACCTCATGTTAGAACTTAAGTTTGTACTCGCTGATTGGTAAATGAAGAAGGGTTTAGGTTCCGGGATGAGTCCTGGGTTTAGGGTTTTGGTTTTGTCTTTTGGGTTTGGGGTTTAGGGCTTAGTAACAATGAAAGTCGTTCACTACGCTTTAAGCGAACCTATCAAGGACAGTTTCCTTGAGAAAGCACTTCAATAACTACCAGTCGAAAAGTTCACTGCGTGCTTGGTTATCTAGCTAGCAGCTACCAGTTCATGAGCAAGCTACCCGGCTGATTGAGTAATTAGGCTGAGTGATTGTTGCATGAGCTAAATCAACTTTGCGGGACTTGGCATGCTGACTATTATTAGTTGGTCCAAACCAAAGAACTGTTTGTCAAACTGGGCGATGAACGAACGAAGGAGTACTGACTTGTAAGCACTTGGTTGAAACACGACTTAGTATGCATCTCAGAAGTGAGCAGTGCGCAGTGGTAAGGGCAGTGCGCATACAGGCAATCACCATGATGATCGGAGCTATGGTGCTGGTAGAATGTGCAAGCTTCGTTGCCGGAAGACGAGCTAAGTAAAATCACAGCGATTGCAGCGAGGTTGTTGTTGCTGCTGTCGCTGTTTGTGTTTATTGTTGTTGTTGTTGTCGTTGTCGTGGTTGTTGTTGTTGGTCTGTCATGGTTGCATGCACAAGAAGTAGATGAAAATAGCTCGAGGGCATATTATTGTGTCGAAACCAGATACCGCAGCTGCAAGATTTGTTGAGGCTCAGCACACTGATCACTATGCCCATCCCCTGCAGCTTTTGCCAACCTGCAGTCGCACCACTGTTGTACGGACTGAGTTTGAGTTCTAAGATGTTCGAGCATCTGGTTGCCACTGCTGCCAAGTACTGTAAATTCCCAGTCCAACATCACCTCCTGATTTATACCCCCCTCCACTCCCCCAAACCTGGAATCCGGAAATGTTTGGGGGTTTTTTGGAACTGAGGATTTTGACTTGTTTTGGGGGGCCTGGGGTCGAACTTGTTTGGGGGCCGGGGCTCTTGGTAGTGGTACAGTAGTATAGTAGCTAGTATTAAAGCTGTAGTATAGTAGTAGTACAGTAATAGTACAGTAGAAGTACAGTAGTATAGCCGGAGTTGAGTCATAGTACAGTAGTAGTACAGTACTAGTACAGTAATATACTAGACTAGTCGTGCACTAGTGGTGCAGTCGTAGCCTTCGAATACAGAAAGGGATTCTGCTTTGCTGTTCTGGAGGCCACCGGCGGGCCGTAGCACTATTGGGGGGGCTTTTCATCCGCACCATTCTGGGGTCGGAGGTTTTCGTATAGTACCACTTAGAAAACTTGATGGAATACTGTAGCTCTTTTTTGTAAGGGGTTATATTAGAAAGCTATAGATCTGGCAGGCGTAGAAAAACAGAGTTTGGAGCTTTGGCTTGTATTCCGGAAGGCTTCAGGGATAAAGCTTCTATATAGAAGCCTCCGGCTTCCTGCCTTCGAATACAGAAAGGGGCTGGCCGTCTCTCCTCTCTGTGTCTCCTTTATGTTGCCTGTCTCTGTCTTTCCTCTTCAAGAGCGTCACTTTGTAGTAGCAGTGTCTATTTCCCTAAACCTTTAAAAGTAATAAAGGCCGGACGGGACTTTAGCACGATTGATGGGACAATGTTAAATCATCCGAACTATTCTGTGCAGGGCCGAGTTTCGCTCTATTGAGGGGACAATTTACTAGTGTGTGCAGGCCGAATTTCGCTCAATTGAGGGGACTTGCATTAATCACGAGCTCACATTAAATGTGCTTGGGTGTAGTCGTAATCGCACTCTGAACCCCAGATACCCAAATAAATGGTAACCGTCGTGCATTTGTTGGTGTCTTGTCATTTGCCTTGCCTGACGGTGCTGGGTACGTGGTCACACGTGCTGAGAACAATCAATGCCTACGAACACCAGCATCTCTACAGACCTTGCCAGGCCTGTGCGACTGCGAGTGTCAAGGACAGACCAAAGCCTAAACTGCCCAAACCCGAAACCCAAATACCTTGCCAGCCGTGTGCGAGTGTGGCAGCCGAAACCCAAATACCTAAAGCCTAAATTCCCAAAGGCCCGAAGCCCGGAAGCCTCGATTTTAACCCTGCATGATGTTTCTCCTCTGAGCTACGGTTTAGGGCTTGGGGTTTGGAGGCAACGACTGCAAAGCCTTCGGAGCTGGCTTGCTCCCTGGCATGGCAGACCCTGTAACGGGGCTTAGGTGCAGGATTTCGGGCTTCGGAAATGGGCTTCTGTTTTTATCGTATTCAGAAGGATCGAAGAAGGCCTCTAGAGAGTTCATGAATGTAAGGCTTACATTCCGTTTATACCGGAAACCCCCCTATGGTTCATCCGGCTCCTGAGGCTCAGCTCTTTCGGGGAGATGGAGTGGGCCTGCGATGCAGATCCTTCCGAGGTCCACTACCTGGTGGGATTTTATTACGGTTTTGGAGGTTCGTTTACTGACCACAGCCCGCTTTTTTGACCGTTGAGAGGCTCCTCCTCGATATGACGTGCGGCACGGGGAGCTATCAAGGGCGATTGCCCTCTCCAATTAGATACCCCATTGTGGCCCTAGCAGCACTGGATGGCAGCTAGAAGCATGGTCCTCACCTGCACTGGGCGTAGGCTTGAGAGAGAGCCAGTAATGAAGTATTATAGCCCAACATGTGTTTCAAACCTTAAACCCTAAACCGATAGACTCTCATTGCGCAAGGAGATGGTCAGCTGTTTCGATCATCGAGGGCCATAGACCTTTGATCTCTTAGGGTTTAAGGGTTTAGGGTTATAGGGTTAGGGCCTAAGTTAACCCCAAAGTGTTACCAGGGGTTTCGATGACAGGAGTGCCGCGAGATGGGAAGCATGAAGGAGCTCACGAAGCCGACGGTTCTGTCCTTAGATCCCGTCCAGGCCTGGCGAGAGAGTGGACTGTAGCAGTTTTGTCGGGTGAATGTTTCAGAGCATTTCTTAGTCGTGCGTTAGTTCACGATCCCTCACTATAGCGTTTTGCACGGCAAATTGTACCCGGAAACGCGTCGAAAGAGAACCCTCCATTTGCAACAACAACATGTCAAAGAGAGAACGGTAGATGAGTGACTCCGAACAGTTTCGGGTCCCAAACCTATCCCATACTCGTGCAAAGTCTGCATGGCTTCTTCCCAGCCAGAAGAGCTGGAACCCCCTTTTTCAATGCTTGCCCCTTATGTGTTTCGGGTTTAGGTATCCGACTTGGGTTCTCTTTGGTCTTCCGCCGACTCGCAGGCTGCCAAGCAAGAATACCCGCCGCTGGGCAGAGTGCGTTCTGGGCTTTCGCATCTTTGGGATGTTACATGGGGACTTTTTTCAATTTAGGGTCCATCTTATAAGGGATGCCGCATTATTTGGGGACCTCCCTAATTTGGAGGACTACCCACATGGGGTGGTGCCAGTATATCAGTTTCTGGTCAGATGCTGGGAGTTGCGCAGATCCGTGCCACAAAGGTTAACACCCTCACCCCCTGCCCTTTACATGAACCTCAAGTGCAGAACTATTTATCTAGCGCTTACCCGTAAGCTCTAAAGACGGGGGAAGGGGGTTTTTTTCCTCCAAATTTTGCCGACCCTAAACCTTATCAGGAAAGCACACAAGCCTAAAACCTAAAACCCAACTGAAACCGCAAGACCCGAAAGCTAAGAATGAACGCTAAACCTGTAAAGCCCGACTAAGCTCACAAGCCTTGAGACTCATCACTGAGCCCCATCTCCGCAAGTCCCAAAGCCTTGAATGCGTAGCTCTCTAAGTTAGGGTCACTTCTTTAGGTCCCTCATATGGTGCGCAATCCTTATCATAAGGACCCTGAAAAAAGGACCCTAATTTAGAGAACTACCCACGTAGAACCCTTGTAGTAGCCTTATAGAAACCCTTATGGATCCCTTTAAGGAACCCTAAAAAAGAGAACTACCCGAATGCAAGAGGATCACCACTTATCAGCCGGTCCTTTTCTGCGCTGACAGCTTGCAGGACAGGAGCTGGGGTTCAGACTATTTTTTTCTGGGAGGGGAGGGGGGTTTACGATTTAGGCTGAGGACCTGAGACTAAATTTAAGATGAAAGTGTTAAAGTTTTAGTGTTCTGGGCTCCGCTTCTAGGGGTTCGGCCTTCGGTAGGGTTTAGGACCAGCGAAGGTGTAGGGTTTGTATGGGAGTCAAGTTTTCTGCCAAGGTGCCTGGTACTTAGCAGTACAGCAATAGAAACCAGCAAACTGAAGCCAGAGCATGTAGAAGAGAACGTCTAAGCCTAAGCCTTATGACTGAGCTGTTGAATGACCTCGGGTTTCCCAGTGTTCCAATTTGTGGTTTGGGATGAACCCCTTACAAACCATACGCCCCCTTACGCCCGCGCGCCCTGCTGGCAGGATGCTAAGACCAAGATCTCGCACTTTTGCGACTCGTTGACGCGGCCCTTCTTCCCACAGTATGCAACTTGATGTGATCGTCGTTAATGCGAGTAGTACTTCAGAAGCTCTGCAGGGACAGTTGTTGAACGATGACCAGACAAAGACGGTGGCGGTACGACGATATTTACTTGTGACCGTCAAAGCTGTTTTGTGAAGTTGTGATTTTCACAAGACATCCCTCAACCACTGCTCGAGGGTGATCCTCGATGTGTTACGATCAGAAGCAAGTCGCGGCGATGGAACCAGCCGTCTGCAATGTTATATTCACACATGATACTGTAATATACATAAATATATGTATGTATATATATATATGGCTAGCTAGGGCTTGTGAAGTTCTCGACATTCTTCCTTTTGCCTTTGCATGGAGAAGTACTCGCAGGCTGAAGTTAGGGTTTAGGGTCTGGGGGTTTGGTTTGAAGCTGCAAGAACTGCCCACTTTGGGTTCTGCATGTTGTTTTCAACGCTTACCAAACCAGTAAGGAGTTTGAGATAATGGTCACCGCGCAGCCTGCTTTGGCACAGTCGGCAGCTGAGGACCCTCTGACGCAAAACATTCGCGTCACCAGGTCCGTGCAGCGTGACTTGACAACAAGCAATCCACAAGCAAGCGCGAGAAGTTGATCACCTTATAAACCCTGAACCCTAAATGCAGGTGATGTATGGTGATTTGCAAGGGTTGTCACCATTGCTATCATGCCGGCCTACACTTGCGGAAAAGGTTGAAGCTTCTAGCCACACTACGGAGCACTGCAGTGCTGTGAATGCGAGCACTAGGTAACCCTAACTCCCCAGGTACCTACTATATAGGGTACTAGAGCCCCTAGGGCCCTATATAGTAGGTACCTGGGAGGTTACTGTAGGGTCAGAAGGCGTTTACTTCGAGCAGCTTGCATTGATCACGATGATTCGCAACTTGAAAGACGGTTCGGCCTCGGCTCGAAAACTTACGCCGCAGACGGTAGTAGCGTAGGGGCCTTAATGATTAAAATAGGGTATTGGGGTAGCCTATACTCTCATTATAACAAGAAGCCCCCCCAAAATATTTTAGGTATTTATTTAGGCCCCTATAGTAGCCCAGCGCCATCTGGAAGAATCCGAGGAGCCCCACGCATCTCTACCGTGGAACTTCAGCGGAAGAAGCAGCAGCTTGGACAACGAAGGGTTTTAGGGCTTATAGGTTTTAGGGTTTAGGGATGCTGAAAATGGGTTGTCGGATTTGGTCGGCGATTTTGAGTAATGTAACACTGTTGATTAGGGTTATTACAAGGGAACAATATGGCCTGCTATATAGTGGGAACGAGTGGAGTCAAGGGTAATCAGATATACATGTGAAGACAGACCTTGGTTTGTTGTAGCCGTAAAGTGCTGCAATACGCCTTGCAATGGGCAATCGTTTCTTGTTTCGCACTGCCTCGTTATGCACGACTATGAGAAAGGCTACGGTTGCAGGGTGTGAGAACCGCTAAACCCTAGGTTTAGGGTTTAGGGTATGTAGCATTTAGGGTTTAGGGCATATATACATATGTATGTATGTATATATATATATATACATACATACACGCACACACCAAAACCACAGGGTTCCGGGTGTTTTGGGTTTAGGGAGTGGGCGAGCGGCTTTGCTTGCACGGGTTGCGCATTCGGGCCCTTCAATTCAATAGTTAGCGAGCCAAGGCATGCTATGTGAACCCCAGGGTGCAATTGCGAGCCCATTACCGGAAGGTATTCCCCATGCTACTCTAGAAACAACTCCACTTGAACCCTGGTATACGAACAGACCAACAGAGTATCTACGTTTACTCAGGCGTCAGTTCTTTGAGGACAGACAAGCGAGCTGACGCCACTGTGCATCAGCCTTTCTGAGCGACGGGGTCAAGTTCAGCCAGCGCGAAAGGCTCGATAACCGAGCTGCAATCACGAGGGTATTGCACTCCCATGGTAGTTTTGGCAGATGCCATTTAGAGAACTTAGAGCTTCAAAAATTTGAAACTATCGCCTCTGTTCTAAACCTTAGCCGTGAATCTTAGAGCCTTGGCACAGCCAAACCTCCTCCCCGACAAACACCAAACCCGAAGCCCTGAATCGTGGCCTTTGCCTGAATTCGAGTTTCAAGCCTAATATGGGCGCCTAAATAAAAACTAGAATTAGAGCATAATGGCCCTGTTCTAACTATTAAGGCCCCTATATGGCGTCTCGGATCGAGCTCTGTCGAGCATTGCCGTAGACCCCAGTGTCTGTTTTGGCCTAGGCGTGAGCCATTAGGTCTCCTCCGTGGCATAGGAGACTCCGCGCGAAGCGGTCTCGACTGCGGAGGTCTATTCATCAGGCACGTTCAGTTGGACATTTGCCGCCCGCCCGTGCTCTTCTATATCTGGCAGGTCATCATTCCTTGCCACAATTTAGGGAGCTGCCTTTCCTACGTATGGGCGGTGGGCGCAAACAGGGGAAGACATGGGACAAGGGAGGAGATTGGCGACAATATCAGCCGCCCTCTTGGCAGGTCTGGCGGGGTGCCTATTCCCCGGCCAGGAAAGACACACCTGCCCCCATGTTGCAGTACGATCAGGTGGCGCTTCCCAATGCTGGCCCACAGAATGCTCGCGGTGTTCGCCAGAACACTACGGACGACGACGAGGAACCCGAAGGAGGTCTCCGCCGGGATCTCCAGAAGGCCCTGACGTCGGCGAAGAAAGCCGATCAAAAGGCCAGAAAGATCCGAGAGCATCTGACCACCCGACGCGAACAGTGGAGCCTCTACGAACGCCAAATGAAGGAGGCATTCAACACACAGAAGAAGCGCTACGAGCAAGAGGTGAAGCGGCTGGAGAAGGATCTCGAATCGGCACATTCGGCTGGACAGCAAGCAATCGCGGATTTCACGACGGAAGTGCAGACGCTTGTAACTGGTGGTGCCAGGGCTGCACCCGCTGCTCCTCAGGACTCCGCTTGGGACGATCTCATTCGAGCCGACATGGAGGTGGAGCCTTCAGGCTATTTTGCGGAGGCCCTGGCAGTTGCGGGGCGTGCCGGCAGACGAATGCCAAGCCTCGGATCCGATTATGCAGCCCAGCTTCAGCAAGCAATGCTTCTGCAGGCCCGGCAGCAGCAAAATGTCCGTCCGACAACACATCCGGGCCCCGTGGCTGGGCCTCCACCAGGACTGGCATCAGTGCATGTGGCTCCCCCACCGGACATGGGAGAAGGGAGAGCACCCGATTCAGTCTATGCGGCAGAGGCTCCTCGAGATCCTTATTTCTTTTCGCCTTCTGCTCGACGACCGCCGTCGAGCCCACCAGCGGGGCGCGAGGCGAAGACCCCGAGAAACAACAGCCGGCCTCGCCCTCATCCCTATGGCGGCAATACCCGTGCAGAGGACGAGATGAGCTTGGAGGAGCGACTTCGGGCAAAAAGGGCAGAGGTAGCTGCAGAGCTCGCTGCTCATCCAGAAGAAGGCCACCCTCTCAGTGGAGGCCCTGGTGCACACGAGGCCCCGCCACCGGCCACGGGAGCCGCTCTTCGCCCGTTTGGCCGACTTGCCCCTCCGACCAATCCCCTCGCACATGCCACCATCGAGGAGGACGACGAAGATTTCGAATTAGGCGAGGCACCAACAGGGCGGCCTCCGGGCCCCGTATGAGCTTGCTGCAAGTATCTTGGCTTTTGCAGGACCTGGTTGGGATCTCTGGGGACCCACTCGTCTTGGAAGTTTCCTGTTGGAAACTCGATAGACGTACGTGTCCTTTTTGGGATTTCCAGTCAGGTTATGCGTTTGTCAGGATCACTACTCGGTCCGAGCGTCGCAGTTTTGAGACCCCTGCTGGTCAGGCTAGTAGTATAGGCAGCGTACTCTGTTTCCAAGATCGGACCCGGTGCAAAGCGCCTTTTGGTCCATTGTTTTCCCGAGGCTCTCGCTCAGCCGTGGGCCCCTTCAGTTGTCTAGGTGGACATCCTTTTGCTCGCGTCCCTCAGCTTGTCCCCAAAGCTCCTTGGGTTGTGGAGTGTTTGAGGTTAGCCGAGGGGTCATCCTTAGCTTTCCGCGAAGGGCATTGGTCTCTTGCATCTTCGCGGGAGGCACCGCCTCGCCCGTGTCCTCTCGACCGGGCCGCAGCATCAGTAGTGTGTCATGCAGAGCGAGCGCTTAAGAGAGGGATCGGTAGCTCTGGGCCCTCCGCCGCCGGTACACGTCAAGAGTCTAGGGCTCTTGCATGTCGCATCCCATCTTGCATGCACTCCTCCTGGGTTTTCTTCCTTGGGGTCGCAGGCCCACTGCACTTAGGTCACGCTCCTTGCGCATGCAGTACCCAGGCAGTCGTTCTGCCTCATGGTTCCTCCTTTGCAACCTCGGTGAGAGTGCGAAACAGATGCATCGGTCGCTCTGGGGCATCGACCTCACCTTGTTGCCACATGCGTTTGGACAGCAAGTCCTTGGATTTTATTGCCCCGTGGTCTCCGGATACCGTGTGTCCGTGTCTGCTGCGCTTCCTTAGGGTCGCTGGCCCATTGTATCTCAGTGTTATTTTCTGTCCAACTGGGTTCGGTTTTCTCTATATCCCTGGCCCTTGGATTTGGACTTCTTGCAAATTTCAAGCCACCATTCCCTCAACTTTGGTGAGAGTGCGAAACAGATGCATCGGTCGCTCTGGGGCATCGACCTCACCGTGTTGTTATTTATGCCAGGATTCCTGGGCAGAGGTTTCTATAGATTTGCAGAGGAAGGCACCGGTGGCTCAGGGGCATCCTCCGCATTATGTTGATCCGGGACCTGGTCCGCTGCTCAGTATTCTAGCTGCTATCGGTCTTTGGCTGGTCCCTCTCGCACGCAGCCTGTTGTTACTGTTTTTCCTGGCTCTTCTTCGACTCCTCCTCTTCCCGCTCTTCGCTTCGGGTTCGCCCTTTTGCTGCTTTCGGCCAACCCTCAAGGCATTCCCCATCGGACCCAGTCTCTCTCTTGGACGTGCCGCTGGAATGTCTGCTATTATGACATGGGATAAGGAGCGCTTTGGGCAGGAGCGGCGTAGACCTCATGC